ATTATTATTATTATTATTATTTATTAATATTATTATTGTCGTTGTTGTCGTTGCTGTTGTTATTCCTCCTTAATCTCTTAATAATTAAATAATAGGCTCAATAAAAAGAAGGTAGGCTAAAAAAAAACCAAGAAATTCCTCATTTGTGTACAGCAGCAACACCACCACCAATAATAATAATAATAAGAAGAAGAAGAGGAAGAAGTAGAGGAAATAAGAAGAATATTTTAGAGACAATATTAATGTCGATAATACTTTATAATATAGGCTATAGCCTATTATGACTAGGCTACAAAGGTCTATCTATCTATCTATCTATCTATCTATCTATCTATCTATCTATAGGTAGATAGATAGGTTATTATTATTATTATTATTATTATTATTATTATTATTATTATTATTATTATTAGCTATAATAAATTATTATTAGAGCCTACTAATAAAATAATCATAATGATAAAAATGATAGTTAGAAAGGAAGATAGGACTGAAATATCAGTCTGTGATGAATGAGAGTGAGATGAATATTTAGGTAAACAGTAGACTACACTGTGATGCTTCCATACACACGGTGTTAAATCAGTGGGAATTAGAGGCTGTTGGAGGCTATGTAGTACGGTAGAGATGCGGTTTGGGACACAGCCATTTTGACAGAAGAGAGTGAAAGAAGAAGTAGAAAGAAAAGAATCCGTTTTTATTAGCTAACACTATTGTGTCAGTGAACTAGATGAGATCGTAGATAAGGGCTTTTTTATAAGGCGGTGTTTTACAGTTCCGCCTTACAGACTCGTCTGTTTATTTATCTAGCCATAGTTAGATGATCGTTGCGTAATAACTCATCGTTCTTATTGTAATGCGGTTTGAGACATGGCCATGCTGACTGTCGGAGACTTTCCGTTTATTATATATATATATATATATATATATATATATATATATATATATATATATATATATATATATATATATATATATATAAAATAAACGGAAAGTCTCCGACAGTTATATATATATATATACAGAAAGAACAGAAATATATATATATATATATATATATATATATATATATATATATAAAAATATAAATATATATAAACGTGCCAATGGGCGGGGTTCGCCTCGTTAATTACTCGCGCGCTATGTGGTTGCCGGTTGTGACTTCACGAGCCGAGTTGAAGAGCAGGATAACCGGCGAATATCGGGTTTAACGAGCTACGATTCCAAATAACATTCGTTTAGGACGCGCCCCGTTTACAAAAGAAAGGGTGTAGCAGTTACAGCATCCGGGCCGGGTCAGGTCGGGTCACGTGTTGACTCTGACTCCGTTTACACCTGGTTGTTTTGTTGTAGCCTACGTCATTAAACTGCAGAACGCACATGCATTCAAGATGTGTGTGTGTGTGTGTGTGTGTTTTAAACTCCTTTGATTTTTGATTAGACCCCTTTAACACACATTTATATCTGATGAATTCTCGATCCTGATTGGTCAGAAGGTGTTGATTAATTTTCTATAGCAGCAGCTTTGACAATAGTGCAGCTAAATCTCAGTTTATAGCATATGAGTGTGCTGGATTTAATACAGCCAGATTAACATAATTGACATAATCCAAGGCTAGATTTACATAATCCAAGGCTAATAAATAGATTTAAAAAAAACGTAGGTTATTATTTAAATAAAAACATATTGCTGATATGCTGAAGTTGTCTGTATGCAGATGGTTGTTTAACATTAATGGAAGGAGTTTCGAGTGTCTAAGCTTGTTTCTACAACTCAGTAAGATTTCCACAGCAGTCTTCAGTAATTTAATAACACGACAAGCTGAGTTCTTAATTTTTTAAGAACATTTTGTTGTTTTAAAAAGATTCAAAAAAATATCTTTTTTGTATCTTGAACAGAGAGAGATAACAGTGAGCCGAGTGAGAGAATGACTGTTTATATGTTTATTTATAACATACTTGATAACAGGAACTAATTCGCAGACTTTCCACAGCATTATATGGTACGATGAATGGATAAAAAGCAGCACATAATTGAATAATAAATTAAAAATGATAGCCAGTGTCCTATGATATACGAGGAATATAATGGGAAAATGATCAATTTCAGGTAACATTAACCGTACAGCAACAGTAGCCTACTCCTTACTTATTAAATTGAAATGGTCCGTAAAGGATGATCCGGAACCCAGAAATGTTTAGTCCTAGAACCCGAATGCTGTCTTAGCTAATGTTAGTGATCAACAAAATACAGTAATTCCGGCTGTTATGGTATATTTTGACAGGTTGGGCTACGGTTAAATAAATCAAGATTTAGATACTGAAATCTCAAAGTAATATCTGGATGGAAATGATCCACATATCATTTAAATACAGGACAGGTCTGAGATACATTTCAGCCACATTCTATAAGTGTAAATGTACACTGTCTCTCCAAGCCATATTTGAGACACAAAGAGGCATATTTGACCGAGCGAAGGTTTATGAACATTTAAGATTTTAAATTGCCATCTGTTTCTGTGGTGAATGTTCTGCCATATGGTACTTTCTCAAATGTTTTTAAGTAATACATGTGAATATTTGATGTCAGATGTTACTACTAGGGCTGTAGGAATCACATCCGGTCTTGAGATGTTTTCTGTATTGACTTGGACTTTTCCCAATCATGGGCATTGGTCTTGCTAAATATTGTCGTAGTCTCAACCGAAAGTTTGTACAACCCTAAATACTACTTTTGAAAATTCCTGGTATTAGACAGTCAATATGCTGTATGGCGTAAGAATATAGTGCATAGTTCACGATTGAAGACATCGCCAAGATATAATTAGTGCTCTATAGTAAGCCTGTTTGTGTGGTTCCATCAATTTGTTCATGCACAGAGTTGCTTGGCATGAAGCCTCATAGTTATATCATGTCTTGGTGTATGCAGTCTTGCGTCATGCATCGTCCATCAAGAAAAGATCTATCATGGTTTTGTTAGCCTCTTAGCTCCACCTGTCCAATCTCATTATAGCCCTAAATATGATCAGTTACTAAACTTGATTATATAGGAAGCCCCCGATGCCAGGGAGCCCTCAAATGCCATAAATAAAATCACCTCTCAGTGGATGTGTGCTCACATAATGAAATTACCCTACTGTAATCTCATGACGCGAGCAGATAGTGAGCGTGAGCCATGTTAATGAGACGTAACGAGGTTTGCTTGGTCATTCCGGCGCTGATCTTGAGACATATTTTAAGAGTGATGTAGTACACGCTCTCCTAATGAAACATTTAGCAGAGCTTAATGTAAACAAACTAAAATGTGGCTTCAGGGCTTTAATTTTTTAAGAGAAAAGTAGGAGTCAAAGACACAAGTTATCAAAACAGTTATATATATAAAAAAATAATTAAAAACAATCTGATTTATTTCTTGGCTTTATACTGAATACATTTTAAATGGGATTAATGTACAGTGCTGTGAAAAAGTATTTGCCCCATCCTGATTTCTTCTGTTTGTGTGTACCGGTACATCTCATACTAAATTGTTTCAGAAATTAAAACTAAAACAAAGGCAACCTGAGTAAACACAAAAAATACCATTTTAAAATGATAATGTTATTTATTGAAGTTAAAAAAAAAAAAAAAAAAAAAGTTATCCAATACCAACTGGGCCTGTGTGAAAATGTATTTTACCCCCGTGGTTACTAATTCCGCAAATCTGTGAAACTGCATTCATAATGGTGTTCAGCTTTAGACACAACCAGGCCTGATTACTGCAAACCCTGTTCCATCAAATTAACACCTAAATAGAATTTTTTCAACAGCAAGAAGTTGGTTAAAAGGTCTTACCCAGTAACACACAAATTGAAAGAAATTCCAGAAATGATGAGGAAGAAGGTGATTTTAATACATCAGTCTAGGAAGGGTTACAAAACTATTTCAAAGGCTCTGGGTCTCCAAAGAACCACAGTGAGAGCCATCATCAACCAAATGGAAAAACTTAGCACTGTAGTAAACCTTCTCAGAAGTGGCCGCCCTTCCAAATGTCCTCCAAGAGCACAGAAACTCATCCAGGCAGTCACAAAAGAGCCAAGGACGACATCAAAGGAACTACTGGAACCAGACTTTAAGCTTCAGGGGGCAATTAGTTTTTCACACAGGTGATAGGTGTTTGATAACATTTTTTTCTTTTATAAAAATAAATAAAAACTGTATTCTGTGTTTACTCAAGTTGCAATTGTTGTATTTCATTTGAAGATATACAACTATTTAGTATGAGATATACACAAAAAAAAAACCCAGAAGAAATGGGGGCAAATACTTTTCACAGCACTGTAAAATCCCTCTGAAATGTCAAACTGGTACCAAAAACAAAATAAGGCACACTTTTGGCTAACGTAGCAAATATCACAGCACAAAAACTGTTGTTCTTTCTTTAATCAGGAATAGCCTGTGAACAGTGGGAATTCACAAAAGCCTTTTGGCCTGTGAACACATTTTCAAACACTACAAAATATTTTTACTGCACTGCACACATCATACAATATCTTAACTCAAACAACACACACACGCTTCTTGACCACAATCATTCCTCATCTGGCAATTTGGTCAGAATCTCCACACCATCAGAGTTGATGATGACCGTGTGCTCAAACTGGGCTGATCTGGAAATCACAAATACACACACACACACACGATATGACTGACTCATATTTAAACAGCCCAAGTGATTTACATTTAAGGAGAAGCCAGTGATTTGGCCCTGTCTCTTCACACTTCCTCTCCCTTCAATCCCCCTTAAACACGGGAGTTCAGTTAAAGCGCTGACCAAGCAATGGTGCAGACTGTCCACACCTGCTGACTGAGCCATTAGCAATTAGATTGAGGGTGCTTAGGACAGGCTATTCAGGCAAACGCATCTATGTCATTAAAAAGACATGTGGAAGAATTGGGGAAGGCGTAATTATTTCAGCTGTTAAAAAGCTCAGCATTGACACTGTGATGTTAACATGGATAGGGGCATGGTGGTTTAGTGCTTAGCATGTATGCCTCGCAAGTCCAGGGCTTGTGGTTTGAATACCACCTCTGCCAGGTGTGTGTGGAGTTTGCATGTTCTCCATTTTATTTCTCCAGGTACTCAGGTTTCCTCCCCCAGTCCAAAGACATGCGCTGTTGGCTGACTGGCATCTCTAAATTGTCCCTAGTCTGTGATGAGTGTGTCCCCCACCTTGTGCCCAGAGTCCCCTGGGATAGGCTCCAGGCTCCCTGCGATCCTGTGTATGATAAGTGGTACAGAAAATGGATGGATGGATGTTAACATGGATGATTTTCCCAGTCCAGGGTTGTTGGGCACTGGCACTAGTGAAGAACCGATCTAATGATTTCCATTTCTGATACCAATATGAGCATACGTCAAAATCCAGTAAGTCTCGAAGTGGAATTCGTGTGCAGGCTTTTAGTTTTTTGTTTATTTGTAATTGCCCATCGAACACGCAGGTCAGAAAACCATTCCTCTCCACAATTTGGTCACCCATCAATTCCCATTCACCAGCCAGCTGTCTCTATTGTCTCCTTTATAGCCTGGGCAGGGTAAAGGCGAACACATGCTTCGTCCAAGACATGTCAAGCCAGTGAAGTACATCACTTTGAAACTGCTGTTTATGCTGTCACAGTGCAGTGCAACCCATTGGGAGGAAAGTGCTATCTGCCCTCTTCTACATACTGCACAAGAGCTTAAAAGGTACCCACGATTGGCTAGAGTCAATGTGATTGACAGGGAAGAGAGAGTAATGCCGTCCCTCTCACCATATACAGAAAGCGATCACTTTGCTGGTAGAACAGTTTTTACTATATAGTAAAATATTTAACAAAGTTCATCAATCCCGCCAGGATTTTGCGATGTTGCGAACGCAGAAATGAATGCAAAATCAAGCAAACGCAACAATATTCTGAAATTATCCGCAGATTTGGGCCAAGACATCATCCAAATGCGTATTCAGTCAAAGCCGTCTTCGATTCACGTTCGAGGAACGGGAGTATAGCTAAAAGGTCTCCTTTACCAACAAACACCACTGTGAAAGACGGCGTAAAAACAAAATAAAACAAAAAACTATGTATCGCAAATTTTGAAAAAACTGCAGGAAAAAAAAAATAAATCAAGCATTTTTGGCTGCAACAATAGCAAAAAAAAACTCCTGTCTGGATTGTGTTATATAATTTACCTTCCATTTAAACATATTGGCAGAAAATAAAGATGCTAGCCAGACGTGAGTAAAATCTTTTACATGTGAGAACAGTTTATGGCTGAACGAAGGCCGGTGTCTTTGTTACTTTTTGTTGAGGGCACAAACAAAATGTGCCATAGTAGAATCTACCCATGCTGGCAACACGTACTCATGTCATAAAATATAGAAAATGTGTATATCTAATTCAGTACCAATGCTAACTGAGATTGCGTACTCCCATATATTGTGAATGCAGCATACATCAACCAAACTGCACTTCAGACTCTCATACCACTCTGTTGGGTCTTGCTAGGCCTTCGGCTAACCAACAATAATGCTCCTCTTCTACATTTCCAATAATAATTGCCCACTTTATTAGATACACTGCTCATTAGCAGTAATGGGTGATAAAATATGGACTATCACTAGAACCCTGTGATGGCATTCTATGAACACTTGAACGTGTGGAGAGCAGAAGAGAACCTTTTGTCATCTATCGAGACGGCCGTCCACTTGTCACTGAGGATCCTAAATTCAGAGGTTCCCTCCATCAGAATGGGCTCTGGAAAAAATTGAGATCACATGAAAAACTACTGGTAGAATAAGATCACACACGCCTAAAAATATCTAAAAACAGTATGTACACACACACACACACACACACAGGAATGTCCATACAAGCACAGACCTATTGTGAATGCCATGCCCTCTTCCATCAGCAAACCACTATCGTTGGCTGTAAATACAAAAGAAAAAAAACCAAGAGAAAGTCATTGTGACACTAAGAAGACACTTCAAATCTTAATCGTGACGTTTGCTCAAGTGACCTGAAAAATGTAAGCTCAAACAGTAGGACTTGCCAGAGTGTGATTGATGAGCCTTTGAAAAAGCCTCAACAGCTTGAGTGTACAGTTTGGACTGGATTATGTCTCATTTGTAAGCCTCTTTGGGTAAATTCAATTATAAATCATTAAACCTTTCAGGAATCTGGAAATTTTGGTGCAACCGAGGTCTCAACCGAGGACCCAGGGCTGTTTTAAGTTCCTGGGCCTAGTTTCAACAACCCGAGTAGGTACTTTTCCGTGAGACGAGGAACTGCAGGGGACCCAAATGACCAACCCGTTTAACCATCATTAAAACAAAAGAAAAGAAAAACCAAACAATGACTAACCCTTTCCCCTCTCCATTTAACAAGTAAATACTGAAGCTGCATTCTACCAGAAAAAGCAGGGCCAGATAACTTAAATCGGTCAGGTCTAGTTCAGTTCATTTATGGTTCCTGACAATGGATGCAAAAATCCTAGAAAAGAACTGAGAATTTTATCAAATCGGAACACAGAGACGCAGACAATGAGGATGTCCAACATCTTTATCATGCAAAACCTAGACAGTATAAGAATACTCTAAGGAAGTAATTAAAAAAGGACAAAATGTAGAATATCAGCTAAAAGACTTTGAACAATCTTTAGAATCAAATCACTTCTCGGAACATTGGAACATACTAAATAAATCTTGTCATGAAGAACTAGTCATCCAGAATGGAGATGTCTGGGTAAACAATTTCTAAAACCTTTTTAGTATTGTAAACAAAAAGCCCTCCACTAATATTGGCATCCTTGGAAAATGAGCAAACAAGCGGAATCTCGATTGGCGAGTGTCCCTGTGACTGACAGGCGAGGATCTATGACATCACTCCGACCCTGAAAGCATGGCAGGTTTTTCTGCCTAGTCGCCCAGCCAGGATTGCTGTGGCATTATCGGAATTCAAACGTGCAATCTCATGGCAAACATTTTTCTGTTGCACCACCCTTGCATTTTCACCGTTTCACCAAGAGTGTTTTTGTACACTGCTCTAGTTCCAAGTCAGTAAATTGAGATTTCCGAGGAACTTAGCCTTCACCCTCTCAAACTGGTAGTGGTCACGTGATATGACTAAAATGGGTAAAAATGGGTTACAAATTCAAACCATCAAGTTTTGAGTAAATAACACCACATGAGCTCTTACCATGATGCCAGATCTCGGGGTGGCCATGAAAGTAAGACCCGATCCCATGGCCGATGAAGTACGGACACACACAGAAACCATTCGAATGGGCGATTTCACTGTAATTCAAACACAGATGATGGCACTGTAGTTCAGAGTGAGAAACTGACAACATGACAATCGAGTAAGAACTACAGGACTACAAGAACTACTGTCTATCAGTCATGGGAACACCGTCTGGTTGCTATAGTCACACAGGTCAGACGGCCTTTGGTGAAAATTACTTGGAAGGTGCCAATTTAATAACTAACTAACCAACTAACTAAATAAATAAATAAAACAGGCGGTAAAAATGAAAACTCAAGAGATGCATTTAGAGAAACAATGAGGAAAAACGAGATAATTTAGACAAAATTGAGAAGGGAAAAAAACCAAACAGAGGTCTGAGTGCTCTTTCCTGAGGAGATGTAATGGGCTCCTGTGTACATGTAATGATAGTGTTAGTCTTTGCACACACTCTGAATGTAGAGCAAGAGAAAGAAAGAAGTCAGGGATAGAGGGAAATAAAGGGAAAGAGACACAGACAAAAGACAAAAGCACAGCTTACTCAGGGAGACATGTCTATACCTGTACAGAAATCTACCTGTACACACACATACACACAAACTTATCAACTGCCAACATATTAAAGCACACAGGAAAAGTCTAATGAATTACTGCTGTTCATATCAACTTAAATCCCCAAACAATTCAATTAGACAGCAGATTTGCACTAAATAGATAGATAAACAGAGTCATGGGAAAAAGAAAGTACACCCTCCATCAGTTCTATGTTTTTAGTTATCAGGGCCTATGAAACAATTGTGTGGTCTTCAAGAACTTCTATAAACAAAAAAACCCCTGTAGATTTCAATATGTGTGGTCCTGAGAAAAAGTATTTGCTCCGTATTATTTCTTCTTTTTTGTGTATATTTCATACTAAAGAGATTTAGATCTACAAACAAAAGACAATGTAAAATAAAGGCAACCTGAGTAAACACACACACACACACACAACACCATTTTTATTAATTTTTATTTTTTATTGAAGAAAAAAAGTTATCCAACACTCATCACCCATGTGAAAAACAATAGTCTTTCACTTAATTCTGAGACAGCAAAACATCCTCACACCGTCACATTTCCACCACCATGTTTAACCGTGGGTATGATGTTCTTTTTGAAGAAATCTGTGTTTGGAAGACAGGAGTCCCATTACATCTGGCGTAAACCAAACAGTTCCACTTTCAGCTCATCAGTTAACAGAACATTCTCCAAAAAGATTTGAGGATCATCAAGGTGTGTTTTGGCAAAATTCAGATGAGTCTTAATGTTCTTCTGGGTTAGCAGTGGTTTTCACCTCACCACTCTTCCATGGATGCCATTTTTGCCCGGTGTTTTTCTGCTAGTGGAGTCATGAAGCTTTATTGATGCAAGAGAGGCCTGTAGCTCTTTTGATGTTGTCCTTGGTTCTTTTGTGACTTGCTGGATGAGTCGCTGCTGTGCTCTTGGAGAACTTTTAGAAGGTTGGCCACTTCTGGGAAGGTTCACTACTGTGCAGAGATTTTCCATTTGGAGGTAATGTCTCTCGCTGTGGTTCTTTGGAGTCCCAGAGCCTTTGAAATAGCTTAGTAACCCTTCCCAGACTGCTGTATTGCAATCTTCATAATTTCTGGAATTTATTTCAACTTGGGCCTAGTGTATTACTGGATAAGTCCTTTTAACCAACATCACGCTGTTGAAAAAGTTCTATTTAAGTGTTGATTTGATTGAACAGGGTTTGCAGTAATCAGGCCTGGTTGTGTCTAATCCAGCTGAACCCCATTATGATTGCAGTTTCACAG